GAAGCTTGGGATAAGATAGGATTGACCTTTCTAAGGGTTAGGACTGGTGTTAGCTCACGATACCATCTTCAAGGACGGATCGTGTGGACTATATGTAGTTCTAACTACCGGGTAAGTGTCAAAAGTTAGTCCCAAGTGCTTTGCTTTTTCATTTTTAACTTTGTATAAATATAGGCAACCTCCTTTGCTTATGAGACGCGCTGCCAAAATTTTCAGAAATCTAAAAAGAGTCGGTCATTTTAAGTTCATAAAAATCTTGGGAAAACATTTTTCCTACGGGAATCGCATGCCAATTTTTTTGAAATTTAGAGAGTTAGATTATTTCTTGCTACAAAAATTTTGACAATCCGCCCTGTCTACGGGAGATGTTGCCAAAATTTTCAACAATCCCTGCTATGGATTAGAGAAAGATGAGAGAAAAGTTAGTAGAGGAGTTACGTTGCGATATGAAATATACTCTTCATTTTAAACGTGGTATTGAACTTCAAGGCCTGCATTGTAATGCAGATTTAGTTATTCAATTGAAGACTCGATTCGTTCGGCCAGATCCTACAAAGGATCACTCTTTTGTTATTTTTTGATAACGGGTCGGTTAACGAAACAACTTTACCTGCTTCCGCATCTCAACCTAAGGCACTAGCTATTTGACACCCGCGGCCTAGGCCGCGGGCATTTCGGCTGCGGCCGCGGCCGTTGAGGCCCAATCCGCGGCCTGGTTTTTCAATATTCCCCCCCCCCCCCTAAAAATACGTAAAAAAAAAACCAAAAAATATGGGGGTGTAGGGCTTGGGAAACCCTACACTCCTATATTTATTTTTTCGGAATCCGACTTAGTTTAAGATTTTTAAAAAATCAGAAACTTAAATCGATTTAAACCCCAAAAAAATAAAAATAAAGAAAAACAGGAATTTTTTTTTGTCATTTTTTATCATGAGATATATAGTCCCCGAGTTGACCTGTGTTTTTTTTAAAATGAATTTCTGCTTTTTGCAGGGAAATAAGGTGTTTTAAAAAAAATGCACATGCAAAATTTGAAAACAAATAAACAAAAAAAGGGTTTGATTGATTGATTGATTGATTGTGTGTGTGTGTGTGTGTGTGTGTGTGTGTGTGCCGGGGGGAGGGGAGGGGTCCCCTCCCCCACCAATCAATCAATCTATCAATCAATTTATCAATCAATCAATCAATCAATCAAACAATCAATCAATCAATCAATCAATCAATCAATCAATCAAATAATCAATCAATCAGTCACTAAAATAGCAATCAATCAATCAAAATTTTATTTTTTCTATTTTTTTTTCAGACATAAAAAACGGCCCCCTCAATTTTTATTTTTTTTTATTTATTTATTTTTTTTTGTACAGGCGGATAGCGGCCGACGTGCGCACGCCGAGCGCGCGCGCCCCCGCCTGGGCGTGGCTTGGCCGCGGGCCTGCGGCCTAGGAGGTAGGCCGCGGATTAGGCCGCAGGATCCGCGGCCGACGGTGCCACGTAGGGCACTAGCCCTTGTATGGTTTTTATGTTTCTTGGGACTTTTAATGGCCATTTTTAAAGACAAATTACCTTTGTTGTCGGCATAAGGCGAGATACGAGTTGCAGACAAAGGTGGGGTATGAGTCACAAAGAACAGTAAAATTGACTCCCTTAGTGTGGGGAGTGGGTATTTGTGGGCATAAGCCGGGAGAAAAATGAGCTTGCATGCTGGGCCTGGGTGCACGGGGACAAACGAACTTGCACGTAGGGCCAGGGCGTGCGCGATGGGGGCTACGCAGGGGTGTGCTCCGTTTGTGCAGTATGGGGAGTGGGCATTTGGGGGGTGAGAAGGTATTGGGGGGTGAGGGTGTATTTGAGGGGTGAGGGGATATTGTGCAGTGTGGGGGGGTATTGGGGGGGGTCAGGGGGTAGGGGGGTTGAGGGGGTTGAGGGGGTTGAGGGAGGTGATGGGGTATTGTGCGGTGTGGGGAGCTCGAGTTTTGGGGTGAGGGGCTATTGGGGGGGTCAGGGGGTATTTGGAGGGTTAGGGAAGTGAAGGGGTTGTGGCCCTTGTGGGGGGTGCAAAGCTGAATGGGGTTGTCACACTTTTTTTTCTTTTTTTTCTCGGGCCCTTTCTGGGGCAAAGTGGAAGTTCTATGACATCCTCTAGGCCATGAGTCCGAACGCTACACCTATGGGCCATGAGGTCTTGACAGACAGACCTTGGCTCGAATCCTGTCCGAGGTCTTGACAGACAGACCTTGGCTCGAATCCTGTCCGTAATTGGAAATTACCCAAACATGGAATACATCAGCGCCAACTCTCTGACGTCAGGCTTGAGTGTCCATGACATAGTCAAGGCCAAGGCCCAAGGGGACAGAACTCCGAGCGATTTATTGCACATGTTGTTGGCAATGGGAGCGCCGAGGAATGGAAGACATTCCAGCAGCCTTCTCGGCAAAGCAGAACCCACTGGCCAGAGCCATATTCTGCACGTCAAAATGAGGGAACCATTGACCATTGTTCAACCATAGAGACCTGAGAGTGGAGGAAGTGGAGGAGAAGGGAGGAGCGGCAAGCCCATGGGTTGCAAGAGGGGAGTGAATATCGGATTACATCGGGCCCAAATATACAAATGAGCACTAAACTTTCGGGCAATAAATAAGCATCACTAGTGGTATAGAACCGCCCGATATCATACAGTTACGACTCTGGCGAGTCTCTTCGAGTGTCTCCAACCACTCTGGCCAGACCTTTCTGCACGCAAGAGTCAGAGCTGCGGCGGAGCCTCTACCAGGCTGAAAAGCATGACTGCAATCAATAAATTTCTCTCGTTTTTGGACTATTTTGAAGATAAAGCGGCCTCTTACAATGTCGGTCGCTTTATCCGGCGCGAAGCGCCCTTGTTGAAGAAGAGTTGCTAAGTGAGTAAACCAAAAGTCTGTGATTCTTTTCAACCAATGGGATTTGTGAATTTGAAGGGTATATGGATTTTCCGAAGGTCAAATCAAATATGATTTGATTCATCCCGAATAGGTGTAATTAATCTAAGATCAATTTCTGACAAGTTGCTTATAGAGTTTAGATGGTTGCACTTCAACTCTTATCACGTCCTTATTTGGGAAAGTGTAACGAACTTTCCTTTTCAGAAAAAAAAAACAAAAAAAAAACCATACATATCCGCCGCGTTCCCAGCTCACTTGACGTACTATTCTTTAGGCTGTTACAGAAGAACACGGTGGGCTGAGCAAACTAAAGCAGCAGCTTACGCCTGTTTATTTTTTTTTTGAAGTACGCCTGTTTTTGGATGGCCGCCTCGGCGGCCTATCAAAGAAAGAAAAAGAAAAAAAAAGACAGTTGATCTTAACAGCACAAACGCACACAAGGGGAATACCTGAAGATGACTGATAGGAGGAGAGAAGCAGAGGAGGAGAACTCTGAAGGAGGACGGAAATAACAGCCGGGAAGATCAGCGTAATGCCACAGCGCAGTCAGTGTAAGCCGACCCTGCAAGGGCATGCCACCTATGGGAGGGGAAAAAATGCGTTTATTTCATTATGCTTATCATCATATTATCTTACCCAAGGTTCTAACCACGGGTGGTCTTATCCACTGTGCCAAAGCTGCAGGTGATTTTCTACTTGTACACATCTGTACGCTGTAACGAACTACTAGGTTCACCCTACGGACTATGAAACCAGCCAAGAAGCTATCTGCTAGGGAGGGGAAAAAATATCCATCCCCTACGACCCCATTGTCTAAAGTTCTCTCCCAAGACCCACGCATTCACAACTTCACAAGGGGAAAAAAAACGAACATTTATACCAGTACATGTGTGCCCTACCTCCACAAGATCCGTTACAGGATCCGAAGAATATCTGCTCATGATTCTAATGCGCTCCATGTCCCCTCCACTGCAGTGAAAAGGCTGTCTGTCTGTCTGTTTGCTGATTCTACTCAGACTCTCCTTTGATGCTGTACTTCCGAACGAACAAAGACATTTTTTGTGCCAGTCCCACGTACGGAAAGGCCGCCCTAAGGTTTAGGCCCCTGATTGCAATACCACCAACGGAACGCAGTGGAGGGGACATGGAGAGAGAGAGAGAGAGAGAGAGAGAGAGAGAGAGAGAGAGAGAGTATCCTGCTTCTAAACGTTACCCTCCTTGAGAAGAAGACAAGGCAGTGGCACCGCATCCTGCAATACTATTTATAGCCTCCCCCCCAATTCTGCCTTTCTTTGTTGTCCGTTGTAATTATCTTAATTCCTGCCTTCCTTAAAAATTACATTAGGTGAGTTTTTGCACTCAGTTTTCGGGTGAATCCGCAGAGTCGCCGTCGTAGCCGATCCACTTGCACGTGACCCAACCAGTCCGCCGCGTGAGCTTGTTGCAGAGCACCTTCCTCTTGAGGAAACAGCAGTAGTTGCCGTCCTTGTAGGGTCTATTTTTTGGAATCCACGTCAGCCCAAAGCAGTGAGGACAAGGAGTGCAGATTCGCTGGCAGCCTTCGAGCGTGGAAGCGTCGATTCCATTGAACTTTTTCCGGCAGTTGATCTTCAGGGACGTGTCCTCGTTGTAATCGGAGTTTTTCCAGCACATGTACGGAGACCTCACCCATGACGGGGGAGGGCAGCCCTCGACTGGTCCACTGAAGGAGCCGACCAGCATCATCGCCTCCACAACCGCAAGGGTTGCCCAAAAAGGGAGGAAAGCCACGCCGCTCTTCATTGTGGCGGATAGCTATATCGAAACGCTACCTGCCTTTTACTGCTCCACCGGACTTAATGTCTTCACCCAGTTCCTCGGCTCCTTCCCTGCTGCTGCACACGTAAGCACACAGAAACGTACACGGCCACGGAGTAAGAGCTAGAGTGAGTGAGCGAGGGAGGGAGCGAGCGAGCGAGCGAGCGAGTGAGAGAGAGAGAGAGAGAGAGAGAGAGAGAGAGAGAGAGAGAGAGAGAGAGAGAGAGAGCTACGTCCACTGGTTGAATTCTATGATTTTCTATCCAATTTCAACGACAGCTACCAATCTGTATGCACCTGACATCTGATAAGGAGGGAAAGAAAGAGAGCGAAACGAATCGGCTTTGCCTGCGTGCGCACAAGATGAGAAAACATCCAAGTGAAGGTGATTGAGCCACAACAGCAAGTCAAATCCAGAAGAGAAAAATCGAGCAGGCCAATGCGACAACGGCAGGCCAAATCGAGAGTGCAGAACACCCAAGATAACAGACAGGAAGAGACACGAAAGACGAAGCAAGGACCACAAAAACCGACGCATAGAACTTGTACAGAATTATGCGGAGAACGCTCCAATTGAAATGGGTTTAGGGTGGGTACGAACGTGCCATTAAAGTGAGTCCTCCTCGGGTATCGGCAGGGGTAATATAATGAGAGTGGGAGCGAAATGTGTGAATATCACGGCGTAAGCGAGCTGTACATAGTTGGAGAGGGACAGTGAGTTGGCTCCTCCTTTTTTATCACTGGATCGCTGCGAAAGCAACACTGTGAAGGGGAGAAGGGAGAGAAGAGAGGATAGCGAAACAAAGGGCAAAAACAAAAAGAATTGGACTCAACAAGACAACGGGTTAGGAGAAGAGACGAGCAGAATATCACGAGAGGGAAGTCTGGGAGAAGGCAAGTGGTCAGGACTCGGGGGAAAGAGAGGAGTAGATGAAAGGGCGCGAGAGAGGAAGAAGGCAAGGAGTCTGACGTGCCCGCCGTACGAAGGGATCGACGATGTCGAGGAAGTTGGGGGGAGGGCAAGGACTGCTAGCGGTGGAGATAAGGACCAGACCTCGAGCAAGAGTGGGGAGAAGAGAACGGAGAGGAGGAGGGAAGGATAACAGAGATGGCCAGGACTGAAAAAACGAGAGAGAGAGAGAGAGAGAGAGAGAGAGAGAGAGAGAGAGAGAGAGAGAGAGAGAGAGAGAACCAATACAGACAGCAGAACGAAAGCGGGAAAAGGGAACTTTCTTCGACGTGCATCCGATTGATCACCAAAAAAAAAAGGTTTACGTACCAGCTCTCTGAACCAATTGAGTGTGGCGTTGGTTCCGCTCTCTGAAGCTCGCTGTCAATGCGCCCACCTCTTCAGTTTGATGCGGAGCTGCACCTCTCGCTCTCCTTTTATACTTCTCCGTCTTTCCTCAGGCAGTGGAAAGTAACGGTGTGCCCGCCTAGGTACCATAGGTCCCAGAAGGCCGCACGAATATCCGCCACGGAACTTGGGGCCTCACTCCACCCCGCCAGCTCCAGATACACCCACCCGCTCCGGCTTTGTTGAAAGGAAGTGAGGGCATACTCACACTGGGACTCTCCTGAATGAATCTGCCCCCAATTACTGCCGGATCCGGATGCATCTGACTGCGATCACGTCCAGAGCTGGGTCCAAAAAATCCCAGTGTGAGTATGCCGTCAGTATTGCTGAGCGAGAGGCATCTGACCTCGAAGAACGGCCCGCTGGCAGCACGTCTGTGACCGGAGCTCGAGCTCTGCTGAGCTTTGTATTTCGCCCCTCTGGAGTGGATTCAACTCCAGGAGTCCAACTTCTGTCACCCGCAAGACCCCCTGAGGAGACCTGGGGCCTAGTCCCATCAGCAAAGAGGATTGGATTCCATCCCCGAATCTGGACGTGTTTGTGGAGAGATCCAGAAGATTGTGATTGATCTGCTTTGCTGCGTCTGTCCCCAAAACGCAATCGCATTCGGAAATTAAATCCTTTCTTCAGCTACAACATGGAAAGATACACAGCCAAATATTTTTTTTTCTTTTTTTCAAGGGTAAGATATATCTATCATCGTCTTTTGTGCATGTGGAGAGTAGCTGGGGATTCATTTCACTTTTCTTCTGAGCAAGAAAAAAAAAAAAAAAAGAAAGTTAGCGCTCGGGATTCTGACTAGCGGGTTCCTCCTCTCTCCTCTATTTAGAGGCTCGCCACCCAGGCTGTCGAAAACAGGGTTTTCGACAATTTTGTATGGCCACACAGACTTTCGAAGAATTGCGGATCAAAAAACTTTCGACAGGTGTCAGAATGGTCCTTTCGACAGCCGCCCTCTAGCAACCGTTTCCTCCCGCCTGCAGCTCAAGGAAAACAGTCCACCGCCGGGCTTTCGAAAAGTGCTTTCGAATTTGCGTTGGCAGAGACTTCTCCCTGACAGGCCTTGGCCTGTTTGTGGGTATGTAGTAGACAGTGGCTGTCTAAAACAGAGTCTGCATCTGGTCCGATTGTGTGGACAAATTCATATGTGTAATAACTTCCGACAGTCCACCCCCTTCGCCACACAGCACCTGTCTATAGGCGGCGTAGACTTGCCTACTTTCGACAATTTCGCCTCTCGACAGGCTGTGTGGCGATAGGGGTCGAAATTGTCGAGGGCCGGCTGTTGAAAAATTACTGACACCTGTGGAAAATTTTGGACATTAGACAGCCTGTGTGGCGAGCCTCTTACTTCTACTCAGGGCCTGGCCACACCTATGTAGGAACTACAGTTTTCGACATTTTTTCTTCGCCACATAGACTGTCGAAGAAAAAATGTTGAAAGCACTTCGACAATCGTCAGAAAAGTGGTTTCAACATGGGTGTCTATCGGCCCGCCTGCAGTGGGTCGAGTTTCAACATCACGGAGACGAGGTGTTGAAGGATGTGTTGATTTCGACATAGATCCCTCAAGCTCCCGTCTTCTTCTTCTTTTTTTTTGTTTTTTTTCCTTCCTTTTTTTTATTTTTTTTTTTCCCTTTTCTAAAAACGAAACTACGGTGTGGCGAAGGCGGCTATTGGAAAAAAAAAAAAAAAAAAAAAAAAAAAAAAAAAAAAANAAAAAAAAAAAAAAAAAAAAAAAAAAAAAAAAAGGCAGCCATTGTGTCGAAACGGTGAATGTAGAAATGGTCTGACAGTTGTCGAATATTTCACCGTTTCTACACTGATGAGGCGAGGACCTCAGTTTTTCTTTTTTCTTTTTTGGAAAGTGTAGATTTGCATTACAATAAAACAACATTGGGACGAGGCCGGGGACCTCACAATTCGACCCGAAGTTATCCTGGCAGCCTCAGCCAGTTTAGCTTACGAGCCAGGCTCGAAATTCTAACTACTGATCAAGCTTTAACAAATCTACTGCTGGAAACCGGGTCCAGCGTCCCATGCTGAAACTGAAACTTTCCAAAAAAGTTAACACATGAAGCTCAATTTAAAAAGGGGACTGCATTTGCAGTCTGACTGTACTCTGTCCTGAAGGCACCCCTGCCACATTTGTCAATGAAGCTCATGGTTTGTTCAGGGGGGTTTCAGCCACTTGGCTATCCTCATCTTACCTTCTGTGGAGACCACTGCCAACTGGTTGTCCCAGGCCCAGGTCTTTAAGAACCAAGGGCACCGTCTGCCTTGTCGACTGGAACTCACTTTCCAGTCAGCCAAAATCATCAGACGTAGGTTTTTGCAAATTTGGTTGCGCGATAACTGAGAGTTAGGCTTTTCCCCTCTGAAGATCAGGGTGTTTCTCTATCCCCATATTTCCTGCATCACCACCCCTCTGCAGACCATGGCTACGTACCCCCAGCCCTCAGTGTAGGTTAAATTCAAGCTAGGGAGAAGCCCAAACAATATCCAATCCTCATTCCAGTCAAAGCTGTTTTTTGTAAATAATTTCCAGTGTTTCCGCCACCACTCCCAAAGTTCTTCAGAAAGGGGACAATGGGTCCACAGATGGGCGTTAGATTCCCAGCCCCAATTGCAGCGCAGGCATGTCGTAGAAGTTTCCATACCCCTGTTGGCCAACCAGTGAGAGGTTGGCACAACTTGTAGAGATTGCATCCACAGCATCCACAACTTGACGAGGCCCTCAGTTTGGGCCTGGCCCCGTACTGATCTCCACATTCGAGAAAGACGAAACAATTGGCAATGTGTCTTTCCATATTTTGACTGAGGATTCAGTCTGGTTTGCATATTTGGAGAGTAGAGGGGCCTGCACTACTTTCCAAATGTGCAAAATGGGACTGAATCCACCGCTAGAACATGGAAGCATACATTGGCAGCCTTTTTTTTGGTTGAAATTAGGACAATTTCTCCATTGACGAGTGTCATCCTTGCTCAGGGGGCCATGCTGGTCTTGTCTGTATCTTTTTTGTCTTTTCTGCATGTGAAGAGTAGTGCTGAGAGGCCCATTCTTCGTGGGAAAGGTAATAAAACCTCCCCGCGAAGAGACCTTTGTATTCATTCCTCCACCCAAGGGGGCAAAAAGTGTCACAGGCCTCGAAACGACCCCACGAGACATTCTGGTTTTTGTTGTGGTCAGGGTTAAGCCCGGCCGTAGTGCCTGGCTCATCTCAAAGACTGCAGCTTATAATGTGAGGGACGCTGGGCCCGTTTCCCAGCCTATAATAATTGCTTTAAAAAGAAGAAAGAAAGAGAAAAAAGAGGGGGGAAAAAAATCAGAAAACCCTCTTTCCCCCCCCCCTTTTTTTCCCCTTTCTTTGGGTAAAGGGCCACTACCTTTAAACCACCAGTACCTCGCTCAGTGTTTGGCCGCGGGCCTTCCCGTATACGCGCCACAGCCTCAGGCTGGTCGGCCAAGGGAAGGCCCGGTCGTAGCGCCAAGKCCGGGCCCCGCTTCTGTAGGGACGACACACGATCAAAAAAGAAAGAAGAAAAAAAAAAAGAAATACACAAACGAAAAAAAAACAACGGGAAAACAGTTGAAGGAGACAGAGAGAGAAAGAGAGAGAGTCTCGTTTCGAAAAAAGAAACAGGGAAAATACATTCCCGCTCCCTTTCTCGAACGAGCTAGAGAGAGAGAGAGAGAGAGAGAGAGAGAGAGAGAGAGAGAGAGAGAGAGAGAAGGGCGGCGAGTTCGCCGCGCCGCTGCTCTCTCTCTCTCTCTCTCTCTCTCTTGCGTCGCGGCTAGGATGAGCAAAATCGAATGAATCTGGTGCGATTGCGTGGGAATATACACTGCCATACTTGTTTTTGTGAGTGTGTGTGTGTGTGTGTGTGTGTGCAGTGTAACCGTATTAGCGCGCTTAAGCGCGCGCTTAAAGACCCTCGCGCTGCGCTCAAACGCGCTCAAAGCGTTTTTGGGCACGCGCACGTGACAAGAAATCAGCGCGCGTGCGCCACGGGGTTGCGCATGGGCAGGGGACGCCCTGGGGCCATTTCCACGCAAAAAAAAAAAAAAAACTGTGCACAAGGTAGATTTTTGGGGGGTGGGGACTGTGGGGGGTGGGGGGTGGGTGGGGTTGGGGGTAGGGTGGGGTTGGGGATGGGCCACGTATTCTTCATTGAATTTAGCTTTTTTTTTCGGAAGGGCCCCCAGCAGAGAATCTGCAGGGCTCTAATGTCTTACCAGAGACATTCATCAATCTTTGGACGAGAGTGGAGCAGGCCAGCAATATATCTTCTGGATCCGAGGTCAGTCCCTGTTCCAGCAGTTATGGGCCACAACTACTTACCACTGTAGTTCTCTCTTTCTTTTGTTTTACTTTTCCTACGAGCAGCGTCCCTAAGGGCCTGGCTGCACTCGTCACCACTTGCACAAAAGACAAAACATTTGGCGGCGTATGATTCCATGTTCTAGCAGAAGATTCATTTTAGTTTTGCACTTAGTTCTCT